CAGATGGGGTGGAGCCTGGGCAAAGGGCGGTGCCCGGCTCCTAGATGGGCAGGTGGGCGGGGTCAACACGGATCGGGGTGGAGCCTGGGAAGGGGTGGGGCCAGCCTCCTAGATAGGCAGGTGGGCAGAGCCAGCAGGGATCTTGGGGGGGCGGGCCCAGGCTCCTAGGTAGGCAGGTGGGCAGAGCCTGCACGGATCTGGGGAGGAGGGGGCTAGACTCCTAGAGAGGTTGGAGTCAACACGGATCGGGCGGAGCCTGGACAGGGGTGGGGCCAGGCTCCTAGAGAGGCAGGTGGGCGGAGTCAACACGAATCGGGGTGGAGCCTGGGCAGGGGTGGGGCAGGTGGGCGGAGTCAGCGTGAATTTGGAGAGGAGCCTGGGTGGGGGTGGAGCTAACTTCTAGATAGGCAGGTGGGTGGGCCCATGCAGACGAGGGCACGGAGCCTTGATGGACTTTCAGGGCAGGACCAGTGTAGGTGTGTAGCCGGAGCTACAGGTGGCAGGGCCAACACGGATCAGTTGGGTGAGGTCAGGATGGGCAGGTGGGTACGGCCAAGTTGTCCAAGGAGGAGAAGGGCAGGGTGAGGCCAGGACGGTGGAGGGAGCCGGGCGGAGAGGTGACGGGGACCGTTGGGAGGAGCCGGACGGGCCCTTCTCACCTGTCCGCTTCCAGGTACGCCTTCCTGCTCGACAAAGCTCTGCTCATCTGTAAGCGCCGGGGGGACTCCTACGACCTCAAGGACTTTGTGAACCTGCACAGCTTCCAGGTGCGGGACGACTCCTCCGGAGAGCGGGACCACAAGAAGGTGAGGCTCTGATGCCAGCACTGGGCGCTCCAGCTGGGAACTCTCCACCCGGACAGTGTGTGTTTGCCAGAGCACATGGAAACGTGTGTTAATTAATTCATTCGATGGGTTTTTAATTGAGAGCCTGCTATATCCTGGGCCTTCCTCTAGGCGCTAGGACTAAAACAGGAAAACAAGATAGACATGGTCCCCTCTTTTTTTTTTTTTTCATTAATCAGTATTTTTTATTATGGTTTTGTGGGGGACATGGTCCCCTCTTGCATGGTATTTACATTCTTATGGGATGCATTTTTTTTTTTTTTTTTTTTTGGTTGGGGTTC